AGCCGCGCTGCCCGGCGGTGCCCGTGCTGTTGCGACCCGGCAGCAGAGTTCTAGGTGGTGTTAAGGCGCTTCCGATGTGCCCAGGCGTCTTGGTCTCCAGACAGCAGGGCGGTTTGCTGGGCTCTGCGAGGGTGTGCCTGGCGGGGAAGGCAGCGCTTATCTGCCTTGTGCGACTGAAATGCAGATACAGCCTTGCAGGCGAGCTCATCCTTCTTCTCAGCGAACTTTGGGACTGGTTTTGTCGCTGTCTTAGAATACTGATAGTCCACGTAATCTTAGTTTTCCCGTAGTTCAGCATTCGCTATTGAGTGTTTCAGCTGGATTAGTGTAATTTGCAGTATTTAAACTCTTGGATTTTTGGTCTCGAACACCATATGGAGGTTGGTATTTTTAAGCAGATGTTTTTGTTTGTATTTTCTTGTTTGTCTTAACTAAAACCAGCAGGTGTTGAATACATACAAGTTCAGTGTGGTTGGCTGTTGCAAACTCCTGCTTAACAAGCTCTAATCAAGGGACTGAAATACAAAGTAATACGCAAACACTTTGTGAAAATCATTCTTTTTTAGTATATCTGAGTATTTTCTATCCACAGCCCCCTGACTTCTGTAGGATTACTGTCATCCTTGTAAAATAGATCCAAAATAAAACTTACAGTTCCTTCTAGTGTATGGAAAGCTATTGGCAATACAATGTCTTTTTTTTTTTTTTTTAAATGGGAATTCAGTGTTCTTGTTGAGCCATGCTGTATGCAGACAGTGTGAGGCACTGGCTAGGATGTCTCGGACTAACTGCAGCATGCAGTGAAACATAAACCGGTATCTTTAGTCTATTAACATTTGGTGTTGTATCTTACAGAAATTGTTGATTGCCGTGTGTATTTCTGTATGCTTGTTAATAGAGTTTGTGTTTTCTTGTCTTCAGTTCTGTTAGCCGTATGGACTTCTAAATTCTCTTTTAGAGAAATTGATGGGGGAAGAGGAGGGAGTGCCAAAGATGTAGTGTAATACTTCTGCAAAGGGTTATGTGGTGGTGTTAAATACCGTGAAGGAACTGGACTGAGGCCTGAGAGGTGCCTCTCAATCCACAGGAGCTGTTTTGGATCTTGGGACCATCTCTTTGCTCAGTGTTCAGCACTGTGATGCTCCATGTCCAGAAATTCTTGCAATACTAGTGAATTTCCCGATGTTGTTGATGTTCCATAGAAACTTCATTTTCGTAATAGTTTTAAGGGCTTTTGGCACACATGTACTGGAGGTCAGTCTTCGTTTGGGCAGGCCGTTCTCCCTCTTGCAGGGGAAGGCCATCTGTCCTTGGGAAGGACTGCGTGACGGACCTGTTGTAGCCACGCAGTGTGTCTCATGAGCACCAAACATACAGCAGGCACCCAGGTTGCGCAGAGGGGCAGTGACCAAACAGGCAGCCTCTGGGAATGTTAGTCTTTACTGTTGTCCTGAAAACAATGGACTTTGCTGGCTGTCCTGTGCTCGCATAGTAAGTCTTGCCCTTCCGTGAGAGCCACGCAGCTGGGTTGTGCGTGGGTCGTGAGGGGCTGTGTGAAGGATGGGAGCGGGCGGCTGGTTGGTATAACCACGCTCTGAAGCCCGCTCTGTCCATGTGCCCAGACCTGGCCTGTCGTCTGACCTGGGGATGAGGTGGGCTGCATGCAGGTGGAGCATTGCAGTTGTAAAATACGCAGTTTTGCTGCTCATTTAAATGTTCTTTTTTTCTGTAGCTCGTTTCTTCTTGTGGTGGACCTTCTAATGGCATATGGCAATAGTGTTTGCTTCCTTTGTGCTGCTGTGTTATATAGAGTACTGGCTTCTGATGGGGGCAATTTTATTTCTTTTTAAGAAGTATGTATGCATGTAAAGTCAGCTGAAAATCAAAAAGGATGGCCACCCGTAAAAAGAGCCGTGAATAAAGAGCAAGACCTATTGTTCTTGCCATTCCCAACTGCAAAGCAGATCACAAGCATATACACCAGAGGATAGTAATACAGCTTGGGTAATACCTGTGGAAGTAGAGAATAAGTTTCTATTAACTGTAAAGGAAACATTAATTATTTTGACTATTGAAAGCGCTTTTCAAAAGTAGACCTTGAAGCTTTGTAGAGGAAGAAACCTTGGAATGCATGAAATAATTCTGGTGCATATTTTAAGAAAGATGCTAAAACCAGAGAGTCTTTACATAGTAAAGAACTGGAAGAGATGTCTGTTGTATGTGAACTATGGAAGTTGTAGGCCTTACGGACAGAGCACGTGACTGCTTTATGCTCATGGTTACAGCTGCTGAGTCAGCTAGCACCAGTAATTTCTCACACTTGTAGACTAAATGTCTTCTTTTTGTTTGTAGATATGGCTCGTGGACAGCAGAAGATTCAGTCACAGCAGAAAAATGCCAAAAAGCAAGCCGAGCAAAAAAAGAAACAAGGACATGATCAGAAGGCTGCAGCCAAGGCTGCCTTGATATATACCTGCACTGTCTGTAGGGTAAGAGGAACTGAAGACAAAATATTATTGTAGGCAGGTCTGTCTCGCAGCCTAGAGCAGAATTTTTAAAAGATTATGTAGTGGAAGCTAAAATACTTCTTAAGCGCTTGTCTAGCTTGTTGCTATAAGCATTTGCATGTTACGTGACCTGCTTACACATTACTCAGCTGTACTGATAACTGAGATACGAGGAGATCTAAGAGGTCATGTACAGATCTGTTTTGGGTAGTTGTCTTGCCTTTGGAATTGCGGGGGTCTGCATGTGATGTTAGTGTGATGTATAAAATGTAAAAAGTGTTAGATCACTTCCTGTTTAATCTCCCAATGGAAACATCTTTTCTTTGTGATGGAATTGGCCTGTCTTAGAATCACTGATTATTGATGTTAATGTAGAGAGGAAAAGTGGTGGTGCCAAAAGCTTTATTGTAAGTTTGATACACAGTAACTTTTACTAGAATAAATGACTTGACAAGAGGACAGGAATGTGAGCAGTAATCAGATTATACTTTCCTTCTGGCTGGTTTTCCTGAGCATGCTTGTTTTGGACGTGCAGGATACGCTTGCTATTTTCACTTAAATGGTCGGTCCCAGAATAGATTTGTCACTTCGAATGTCTTAAATGAGATTGCAAACTAAGGGCTGCTCACTTAAGTACTTGTAACCAGCTTCTCTTCTTGTGAAATCAGGCTGTTGCAGTGATCACTTTGGGTGATTGACGCCTGCAACTGTGTAGTAGCAATGGTCTGAGATAGCTTGTGCCAAGTAGAGAATCAGTCTGTGCCATGTAATTCTCTGGCCTGTTGATAAACAGAAGAACTAGCTTTCATAAAGATCTGATTCTGAAAAGGGTAAACATTTATCCTTCAGATGGTGAAAAACAAAATGGTAGGGAGGTAGATTTCCCACCAAACCGGCACATGAAGTGTAAGATCTGCAGGAAGATTTCTAGCAAGGATAATACTATTGATGAAGATGCCAAAACAGCGTGATACTAGTGCTGAAAAGCACCTCTCTGAAAATCTGAGGTTCAATATTCTTTCTTATTCTGCAGCTAAATTAATGGTGCTTCTGTCACTAGAGCAGTGTCCTTGAGGAGACAATTCACTTCAGGAAAAAGAAAATAAGGCATAGGGGGGGAACAGGTTTTGTAGTATTATTTAACTCTTGTACTGTGCATAAAGTTAAATATTTCTCTTTAATCAGACACAAATGCCGGATCCCAAGACCTTCAAACAGCACTTTGAAAGCAAGCATCCTAAGACTCCACTTCCTCCAGAACTGGCTGATGTTCAGGCATAAAGTTGTCTACAGGTCATTACTTTAATTTTTAGATGATTGTCTGAGAAAGTTATATTATGAATCAGGTTTCTTTTACCACCGACAACTGAGACTTAAAACTTGCTTTGTTTGCTTTAATATGAAAATTAACTATAGGTTGAAGTTATACTCCCAACTGTTACACAGGAGAAGCAAGCTAATACTTATGTAGGTGAAATGGCTGTGTCATTTCGCTGTGCTGGAGTTTGTTTTAGAAGGGATCAATGTTATGTGAAATGGTCAGCCTTAAAGTTGTAGGAATACTTTGTTATTTAGTTCTTGCTTTGAAATGCTAGTTTTGCTTTGAACAAAATACAGATAACAAATACAATCTGTCTGTTGCTACAAAACATGTAATGGAAGTAGTTGTTTAGTATATTTCCAACAATTGAGCCATTTTGTTCCTGAAGCTGCAAGTGAATGCGGATTTTTCTGCGTTCAAATATAAAACCTAACCTCTGTGCTAACTGTAGAAGAGATTTCCCAATAGCCAGTTGTTAGGCTGTAACTGAAAGTGGTTATAATAAAAGGCTGAAATGAGGTAAAAAGCAGTATTATGGTATTTCGTTCACGTAAAGGTAAACAGCATTGTGTAATGGTTCAGCTTAACTGAGTTACTCTTGTTTTTTATAGGTGAAATCATGGCACCTATTGACTCTTCTGCTGTCAGACCTTACATAACAAACCTGCAGCTGCTTTTCTAAAACTGTTGATCAGCAAAAATGAAGGGGCTACAGAAACATTCATATTTTTATGCTGTTCCCTCTTGGGCTTCATGCAAAGACAATTCTGTGTAAATGTACAGTTGTGCCCTATTTGGAAATCCTGAAAAATCAGTCCATACTTGTTATAAAAAAATTTTTTACAATTGTAATTATATTGATGTTCATATTGTGTAAAATAACTCATTTAATAAAGTAGTACTTTGATTTTACAATATCACAGATTAAATCCTTGTAGAAGTTCTGTTTCAACTTTCTGCTTTATCTGCCTTACAAACCAATAAGAAAGACAAAGTGGAATTTTCCCCATCCTGCCAAAACATGAGCAGTATCATTCCACTGAAAGTAATGTACATTACAGTAAATTAATCTTAAGTGAAGAGGGAAGTTGCTCAGATCTACTGTTGGGTGTGCCGCCTGCTTGAGCCCAGTCACTGATGGTCAAGTTGGCTCAAGGCACAGCAGACTCCTAGAAGCTGCGTGAGAATCATGAGACTTGCTTCTACGCTTTTCTCTTGTGTATTGGAGTCTAATACTGCAAGCCATGTCAAATGGGATTCCTTTACTGTGAGGGATCATGGTCCTTGAAGTCGCGCACTGGAGAGACTCTTGTTATCCTTTATATTTGGTCGGTGGCTGAGGAAGCTGAGAGGTGGCAGGATTTTCATGCTGGCTTGAAACATGCTCGCAAGTATTATGTTAAAGCAACTCTGCTCTTAGTTGAAAAATAGAATTGAAAATATTTTTAAGGATATTTTGAGCAGTCAGCCACACATGTTCCCCCCTCAAATGCGTCTGGTTATTTCAGTAGCAACTCTTCAAGAAATATGTAAAATAGCTGGCCATTAATAACTTTTCTTCACAGCCAGCTTAAAATAAGCCTGTTGGAAGCGAGCCAAAGTAACTAAACCAATATGGCTACTTTAAGAAACCAGATGTGATTAAAGTTGCATTGACAAGAAAAAGCTGGATAATAACTCTCTGGCCAAGAACATTTGAGCAGCTAAATGTGATTACCATTAAAATGCTCTGGGCTTCGTTCTAATCCCAGATGTACAGCACGGAAGTAGTAGAGAACCAACTGAATTCGAAGGTCTGCTATAGAAAATACCATCTTTGGCATTTGGAGGGGGCTTGTTTAAGAGCTTTAGTTTTGACCTTGCAGTAAGAATCAGTACTAGAATTGCTGTGATTTACTGAGGTTATAACGGATGTAAAAATTCTGTCAGTCCACGTAACCCTTGCTACACAGCAGGACTGTACATCTGACCTTCAAATGGCTTCCTAAAATCTAGGACCATAGTCTCAAAGACTCATTCACTTAAAAGAATGCACTCGGTATTTTATTATATAAAGTCAAAGCCTTTGTCTTCGTCCACTCATTTGCTCTTTATTGAACTACTTCTGTAAGACTAGCTTCCTGTCCTCTTTGCTGTGACAGTATCTCTGTAAATACTTCCTTTGGCGTACAGTTTCTCTGTATTATAGTCACTCCAGGATAAGCTGTATACCACTTAACTTTTATAGATGATGTTGTTCTCCTCTGAGAGTAATCCACTACTGCACTTGTACACTTGACATCAGAATGTAATGCTTCATTTATTTTTCTTTAATGTTATCAATACATATATCCTGACTAACTGGCTCCCACAAGGCAAGGAATCTGCTCTCAACCTTTGTGCTGTATCGGGGAGAGGTACTTAAATGTTCTGATGCTGTAGTTTGTCTGCAAATCCACCGAGTGCAAATGGATAAAGATGTTTCTTGCACTGATTGATATTTGGTAATCTGGTTTTGCTTTGGAAAATGTTCCTGGATGTATCCCTATAGCTTGGTCCTGAGGTGAAGTATATGTTCTATTCTTTCAATTCAGATTGTGTAGCATTAAATAAAAAGATTTTGTTTCGTAAACAGTCTCTCTTAATGAGCACTGAAGAGCTGGAAAGCTGCATCACTAGTGGGATGGTTAACTTCAGTTAGAACTGTATTTTCAAAACTTTGTGATGCTCAAGCTGAAAATACCCTATGGAGTGATGCGGGTTTTATGTATTAAAAGGCAAGGGTGAGCCTCAGTTCAGTAAGATCCCTAGCTGCAGGAACTGCAATCTCAATTACAGAAATAAAGGAAAGCTGTGACTGAATTGTTATAAAGACTTTGTAAGTACAGGGGGAATGCTATAATAAATGTGGGGATCGTCCTCGTTTAGAATATCTGCAATGCTCCTTGTACCTAGAAGGTCAGAGGAAGGACTAGGAGTTCTGCATCATTTCTTCCTGACCTGGAGGATGGCACCGTTACCTGGCTAAAGACACAGTTGTGCATTGTAACGTGTCTGATTAAAGAGAATTAAAAACCTAAAATGCAAAATGTCGTATTTCCTGCCTGCTTTTAAAAACAAGTATTACTGCACTACAAAATTAATTTCCCGGCTGTGGGCAGTCCTGAAACTTGAAGCTGTCTAACTTTGCAAGAAAGGAAAATAGGCATGGAAATTTTCCCAAGTTGCCTTGAGAAAGATTCATCTTTGCACAGGGACAGCATTTAGGTAAACGGTTCTTATGTTGTCAGTATGGGCATCAGCTGTCATGGATACTTGTGCAGCAACTTTGGAAAGTAATTTTGGATTTTCAGAAGCCCACATCTCTTCTGAGAATCTCTTGAAGTGACATCTGAAATCACGTTTTAAGCAGGGCTTAAAATGTTTTGAAAAAAAATCTCACTTTAGATCCCAGGTTAAAAGCTAGCATGTGTGATTATGATGAGGCCATCTCAGGGACTACTGAGTAATCCAGAACAGTTTTGCAATTTGTGTTACTCAGACTGACTTAGGCTAGTTCCTGTACCTCTACTTTACCTATCTCTGAGGGGTTTCTGGTTTCTTGCTGTCAAAAAGCTGTGTGAAAAATCTGGAACAGAAGTTGAACGCAGTTGCTGTGTAGCCTGAAGGAAATAGCTGGCTTTATGCAGTGCTCTCTAAGCGTCCCTGGAGGCTCTCCCTTTTGGTTATTTGCTGTTGAGCTGAAAACACTTCAGCTCAAGTAAAGCTAATGACCACGGGCTGTTTGCAAACCACATAGTAATGAAGGAATTTGTAGCCTTTCTGTAAACTATATTGAGCTGCTCTCCCATCTTGATAAGAAGAGCTAATAGGTGGAATTTCTTTTGGTAGGCTTGAGGTCTGTTTTGTTTCACAGTTTCACAGAAACAAGTTGGGAAGTATTTGGCTTTACTAGAAGCGTTGTCTTCCCAGGGTCTGACCAGTAACCTCGACCAGTCCTGCAGAATCCACAAAGTAGAGGTCAGCTTGTGTTTCTGTCTACTTAGCCCCATTCTGCTGTGTTTAATTTGGGGGCCTTTGATTTACCTGTTTAGAACCTTACAGGTTTTGCAGTGGACTTTGAGTGCAGCCTCCAAACTCAGCCTTGGACTGGTATTCAGCATGCGATTTTCCGTATTCTGTACCATCATCAGCGATGTTGCTCTAGTCCAGACAGTGGGAGTGTATCACGTTCTGTCTGTGGAATTTTACTGCCCGTTTTGAAAATTATTTGGAAATTTTTTAATGCATTGTCTATTGTGTTAAAGTTTTTGTATAGATAAGGTACAATAGAGTCAATAGTGAGTTGTGTTATCTTGGTAGCTTTCAGAAAAAGGTGAAATGGGTTGGGTGTATATTTTACATTCTCCTATGGCTTTTTAGCATTGGGGTTTCTGGGAAAGGAGGAATCTGTAGTTGTCCCAACACTGTTATCCACCAGGAATCTGTCCAAGCAATGTCTCAGGTTTTTCAGGAAATACAGCACAGCTTTCCTCCTGTCCATTGTGTGTAAAGTTAGGGTCCGTACAGCACTTTGATGGCCTGGCAAAGGTGTTTGTGTGTTCCCTTTTCATAGCTGTTACAAAGTCGCAGTGTACAAAACCTTACTGAATGCTGGAGATCTTTCAGAGGAGTAAGGACTAAGGGGAATCTCAGAAAGTTACCGAGTCCATCTCCTTGCTCTGAGGTTGGACCAAATCTGCCAAGACTGTAACTAACAAGTGTTTCTCTAACTCTTAAAAGCTTCCGAAGAAAGGCATCCCATGCCCTTGTAAGAAGCGTGCACCACTGTTGAACCGTACAACTGGAGAGTTATCACAGCAAGAGTTCATCACTGTGAGTTAAGTCAATTATTTTTGTTCTTACTGACAATAGATGTGATGAATAGTGCCCTCATTTGAACATTGCTATCACATTGCTCTGCTAGTCTTCTCTTTTAAGAAAACCCAGTTAATCGAATCACTCTTCATACGTCATGTCTTCAAAGTAGCAATTGTTGGTGCTCTTCTCTGGATCCTCTCCAGTTTGAATGTGCTCTTAAGTCATATAGTCCAGAATGTGACCCAAAGTGCTGGCTGAGGCTAGTGCAGAGTAGCTGGAACAATTAACTTCTGGCACTTCCATACATCAGTACTATTAATGCACACTGGAGTTATATTTGCCTTTTTTGCAACAGCATCACCTTGACTTGCGTTCAGTTCCTGGTCTGTGAACATCCCAGCTCCATTTCGGTACCACTAATAATCTCCATTTTGTGCCTGTGTATTTAGTGTCTGCATACGTGGCTCTGATGGATCTCAGACCAAATTTATCAAGATATCAGCAGACTGGACCTGTCTTCTATGCTGTGTACAGTTCATCCGAGCGTGGCATCCTGGGAGGGTCTTGCAGATGTCCTCTTTTACTCTGTAGTCTGAGTTGTTCGTGAACACACTGAATGGGAAAGATGCCAGGGTCTTGTAGGATCCTGCTTAAGTATCTTCCCAGGTTCCCAGTAGGACTTTGGTAATTGTTTTTTGGGGGACGTTTTGTACTGCTGTGATTGTCCTTATGGTCAGTATGGACTGAAGCCCCATATTTCACCTGTGAGGACTTCACAGAATGACACTGTCAAGGGCCTTTGCAGCAATGGGGAGATTTGGGATCCTGTGCGCCTGTGGCCACCAGGCCACTTTTCACCAAGAAGGGAATGGATGGTAGTGGGGTATGGCATGCTTTGGTCCTTACAAAGCCACGTTGGCTGGCTGTTGCTGGCTTACTTCTCCATATATATTTACAAATATGATTTTATAAAAATTATTCTAGCCTTTTTCCGGGTTTAGGTTGACTGACATAGTCCCCTGCTTTTTAAATTCCTTGTGCTTGTCCCACTGCTCTCTTGGACTCTTCTGTGCTCACTGAGGTCTCAAAG